TTTTCGGTTTTGTCTTCAGATACTTTAAAAGGAAACAAACTGGGTCTGGCCCAGTAGCCTAGTGGCTGAAGTCCTTTGCCTTGCATGCGCCAGGATCTCACATAGGGTTTATGTCAGTCAAGATTCTCCCATAGAAGTAGACCCAATATGAGATGTTTGACTTTAGAAAGAGGTTTTTAAAGGGAAGGTTGACTTTAGAAAGAGATTATTTTAAGGAATCAGCGGATTCAACTATGGAGGTTGACAAGTCCTTATTCAGCAGGGTGGGCTTGCCTGGGGATCAAGGAGGAGCCAGTGTTGAAGTTCAAGTCTGAAGGCTTCCGACTGGCAGAATTCCTTCTCGCTATGGGAGGATCAGGTTTTCCTTTTGTTGGGGCCTCCAATTGACCGAGTGAGGTCCACCCACATTGAAGACGCCAGCTTCTCCACTTAGAGTCCACCAATTTAAATGCTGCTGTGGTTCATGTGTTGGAAACGTAATCCCCAAAGTCCTGTGTTCATGGTATTTGGAGGTTGGGCGTTAGGGAGGTAATTAGGATTAGATGAGGTCACGGGGGTGAGGTCCCTAGAGTGGGATTAAGGACTTTGTAAGAGGAAGAGAGACGCGCTTGAGTGTGTGTGCTTTGCCTGGCCGAGTGGAATTCTCTCCTCCTCTCTGTGTCACAAGGCAGCAAGAAGGCAGCTCTCACTTGTGCCAGTGCCACGAGTCATGCCAGTTCCACAATCTGGAATTCCTCCATGGCCTCCAGAACTGTGAGCTAAATCAGTTACCTGGTCTCACGTATTTTGTTTCAGCAACAGAAAATGGACCAAGATTAGTCCTACTTTTACACAAAGATAACTCTTTGCAGAAACTTATAGAAAAATATTTTTGATCGTCTTTCTGGGTGTTGTGGTCCAGACAACTAGGCCTATAACATCACGGAGTTCATGTGGCTCTTGTGGCATAGACATTTATCTGCTGCTCATCCACAAAATCCTAAAGCAAATTGGTAAATTGTTTAGTGATCTGATTGATTTAAGTGAACACCAATAATCAAGCCTTTATCATTTTAAAGATTCATTTATTTGAGAGACAGAATAGAGGGGAGGTAGAGGGGCAGAGAGAGAGAGAGAGAGAGAGAGAGAGAGAGAGAGAACGACATCAGTGATCCGTCAGTCAGAGGAAGGGATGAGCCCCACGGACCAGCCAGGACCTCGCACAGGAGCTGATCACCTACCTCTCAGCCCCAATTCTATCTGTAAGAACGTTCACTCCTTAACTCCTCGAGAATCTGGGAATTAATCAGCGGCTGCTTGACTCCTTGCTCTGTGCTTTGCAGTAAATACTGCATTTCTCCACTACCTGGACATCAGTGATTGGTTTCTTTGCGTCAGGCAGGTGGAGCTAGTTCTACAACAGTGTTGTTCAGCAACAAGGTCTCATGATAAAGAAAAGAAAGGACGGCACTTATGGATCCATACAGACAGACAGAAAGCAAACTTCAAGTGCTGTCTTATTGAGGTTTGATGCTTGAGCCTATTTCCTGGTGTAGCTGTAGGTTTGGAGTGTATGCTTATGAATATAGTGAGAAAGTTTAGGATCTGTAGTTGGCCTCAGGAAGATGACTGCCAGGACTGAGAACATGCATGTATGCTAATTATTTCTCATGTGAGGACAGAGCAGGGGTGTTAGTGTAAATATCATAGAGGATACTAAAGTGTGTAAAGTAGAATTTAGCTCTATGAAACTTAAAATATTTTTCAAGGGACAATACACATTCATAGAAATGACAGAACAGAGGAAAGTGACATGAGTGCTTTAGAGGAACAGTAGAAATAACTTCAAAGTGATTTGGGAGGGGAGTCGCTTCATCTGGGACAATAAGGCAAGTGTTTCTGGCAGAGGTGATAACTGATCTTGTAGAATGAAGGGGACAGTGGCAAAAAGAGAAGGTGTGTTTAGAAGATGCAGGACAGCATCCAATGTAACCAGGAACAAGCAAAGAAGAATTCTATTGGCGGCTGGAGAATTGTAAAGGCATTTAAAAGCTATGGTGACTTGGGTGGGGCTGGATTTTTCAGGCAAAGGTAAAATGGTGAACATGCTAATAAAAAGATTGCATGGGATAATACGCTTACCACAATTTGCTAAATGAGTACAATGGGGAGAGGCTGAAGGTTAGGAGAGAAGTAGATAGGATTAGATGAGATAATGACAATTGGATGTTAACAATAGTGATGGATTATTCTAGAATGTGCTATAGATACCACAGGTCTTGATCCATGAGGTTATGAAATCCATTTAGCTGATGAAGTAAGCATTTTAAAACATGGAATAGAGCAGAATATTATGGAACAGTATAGAATAAAAAATGTTAGATTTCATCTACTTAAGGGTAAGTACTATTTTATGAAACTTCTGCTTCAAGTGCTATTTTGAGTGTGCTTTCTTGTGTGTGTGTGTGTGAAAATCTGATGCCAAATGTATTTCTTACTGTGTGCACTGGCAGGAGGTGAAGCTCCACAGAGGGTGTTTTTCAGTAAACTCTCTCCTTATTGTAATGTTTAATGGTGCTTTGCCACTATGGTCTAGGCAGGGACATGAAAGAAACTTGCTGCATGGAGAGAGCAGCCTGCATTCAAAATAGACAACGCTTAATGCACTGGGCACTTCTGCTGCCAGGTCTTTCAGGAACATGAGTGAATACACAGCTTGGCATTATACTGTGGGTTTTGAAGATTCAATGTCATGTCTTTTTTAATGAATCCGTCACACCTCAGAAATTATTATTTTCAAAAACAGTCTTGATAGCGGGCAATTTTATCTGTTAGTGGGCATGTGTCAGTGTCTGGGGATATTTTTTGTTGTTGGCATTTGGAGGAAAGGGAATGCTGTGGGCACCTACTGGAATGCTGGAATGCACCTACTGGAATTCAACAGGGAATTACAGGACAGCCCCTTCCAAGGGAGGAGGCATCGGCAGTGACAAGGCTTTGAAACTGTACACCAGTGACACAAACGACATATTTAAAAGAAAGAAGACTCCAAAGAGTCACACTGTTGGCCCGACACAGACTTTTTGATACTGTTTTTGGAATGCTCTAATCACCAACTTTATTCAAATTACAATATATCAATATTTGCATACATGTGATCCAAAACTAAATGTTGCACAAAGCAGTTTAGAGATTCACACAACCCTAAGACCATTTCCCAAGCTTTAACATCAAAAGTCAGAAACCTAGCCTGCCACCTGACCACAGAACAATCCTCACGCTTATGTCACACACAGACATACACAAAGTGATCTTATCCTAAAGCGAGTTCAGAGAAAAGGCAGCCAGCTGCCTGGTACACCTCATCCTCAACAATGCCTAAGTAGTTCCTAATTTAAACTGTACTCCACAGCACCTCCTGGAGGTTTTGTAGATTTGAGGATACAATTAAATATTTGCAGTCTTAGCTACTTCAAAAGGAGGAGGAGGTATGGAACTGGCACCTGAGTGCTAAGTCTGTTGGGCATGTACACGACCCACAGTTTTCTTTGGCTGTTTGTATTTCCTGGTTTTGTTTTCTTGGACACCGTGCACCATCTGTTGGACAACCACGTGGGTCTGTGTGACTTTAGAAAGTCTCTTCTGAACGAACTTGAGAATATCATTTAGCAACAACTTATCTTAAAGGAACTCTATATTTAGGCTTATATTTGGACTAAGTGAATAAATTTTTCTCTAGGTCCACGCTAATATTTTTGAGGACATTGCTAAGCAGAGTAGCAGTTTCAACATAGCTTTCATTCAATTTTATTCTGTAATGCATAAGCCTAGCACGTGTAATGACTCCATCAGGTACTTTATGAAACGGAGTAGATTGTGTCTTTCAGACGATTGTGGACTAGGCACTTATAATTTGTATTTCTTTAAAACTTCTAAAAATTAGGGGTTTTCATGGTTTCAGAAGGAAGGATCCACACTTCTAGTGGGAGAAGTACAAAGGAATCACATTAACTTTCCTATGGAGAAAGACAGCATTTTGATTCTTCCAAGTATTAGCAAATTCTCCATCTTTTCCGGCATTTAATCTTATGAAACTAACACACAAAATTCCCACCTGGCGGTCAAAATGTGTAATTGCATCAACAAATGTCAAATTCTTGGATCCTTGCTCTGGTGCCTCTTACGAAGTGGCCCAATATTTCTAAAACAAAAAATACGTTTTAATTAATCACCATATGAATGTACTTCAGAAAGTTCATGGAAAATTTGTGCTGCCAAAGGATGCATGCATTTCAGTATTTTTCAACAAAATAAACTCTTTTATTTCATTTTCCATAAACTTTTTCAGGTGCCTTCATACATATATTCATTAGTGAGGCTTCCTGTGTTCATATGTGTAGGTTGGGGTGTGTGTGTGTGTGTGTGTGTGTGTGTGTGTGTGTGTTTTAAAATCACCAAAAGAGTTACAAACATTCACAACTAAACAGGGCCATATGATTTCTAGCTTGATCCCTCACTAGATTTGTTTTCTATTCCTTTCTTTTTCTGAGTATCTCTCAAACAGCTTGAGGAATAGAGAGTTTACTTTTCATGTTGGCAAAGCTCCTTGGAAAACCTGAAAGAATAAGAAGAAAGAAAAATCTGTCTGTGTGCAACAAGGAATGATAAAGAAATTCCTAAACTCTTTAAGACTTCCAAAGGTTTTTGCTTTTAGGGGAACCCCCTGACAAAGGCCTTCTAAAAATCCCATGGGCAATTGTCAGAAATGTTTAGTGTGACTCATACTCCATCTTGCATAGGTTAAACAGCTAACTTTCTCTATTTATTTTCAAACCAGACAGAACGACACCTTCCTTTATCAATAGAACCCTTAATTGGTTGATTAGTGATTGTAAATGACGTCACGTTCCAGTCTCGTGCTCGCAGGGTTAGTCTTTATCTCAGATAATTGTTTTTCACCTTCTCACTACATGTCTCTTGTATGGCCTGTGCACAACTCTTCGTTTAACCTCTAACGTGAATCAGAGGCCTGTTTTTGAAGCAATCCAGCGTCGATAATAAGTCACTTCTGTGTAGACGCCAGGCTTGTTCTTCTGGCCGCAGTTATCGCCCCAGCTCACAATTCCGATAAGGTACCAGGTATCTTTAAGATCTCTTGCCACTAGTGGGCCCCCGGAATCTCCCTGACAAGAAAAAGGAAAGAAAATTGACTAAACATGCTGTTTAAGCTATTTTGATGAATCACCTGTTTTATTTCTAGAAATACATTTATACATTTATAGATATACCAGTATAGAATATTTAGTGAAACCATGTATTTAAGCATCATAAGTAAACACATTGTAACAACTGTGTTAAACAATGGAAAGTTTAAAAAGAGAAATGGAAAAGATATAAAAAGGCTTTAAAAAGGGTCCCACATCTTTGGCCACTTGTTCTCAAGAGGTATTATTCAATGCCTGGGCAGTCATCTCTTATTGCATCTAGTTTCATATTACTTAAATTACATGGTCCCAAATTGCCATTTTCTAGATTTAAACAGTGGACTGGAATCAGGTTCCTGGCTCTAGCCTGGCCCAGGCTTGACCATTGCCGCCATTTGGGAAGTAAACCAGTGCACAGATCTCTCTCTCTCTCTGCATCCACCTCTCACTATGTCTTGGTAATTCTGACTTACAAATAAATCTTTTAGCAAAGATTTGGACAGTATATATTGATTTTTAAAATTATGTAGATAGGAATGTTAGCTGTTCATCTTTAAGAAGCATTTATGTAGTTCAAAAATTAGAGTTACAGAGAGAAGAAGAGACAGAGTCTTCCATCTGCTGGTTTACTACCCAAATGAGCACAATGGCCAGCACTGAGACGTGCTGAAACCAAGAGCTAGGAGCCAAGTGGATTTTCCACACCCACTTTGGCCATCTTCCATTGCTCTTCTCAAGCGTTTAGCAAGGAGCTGGTTCCAAAAGGGAGGAGTAACAAGAAAAAATGTCCATATGGGATGCAGATGCTGCAGGCAGCAGCTTAACCACTACATCACAGTTTGTGACTTTACCTGCAACACTGTGATGTTGGACCCTGAAGTTTGCTGCTTCACAACCTTTGTAACTTTCCCTCACCACTTCTTCAGGCTTGGTACCATCTTCATTTTTGGCTACATTCACAGCTGAAGTTTATATTAATTTCGTGGTTTCAATGCTATTTATTTATGGATAAAGCATATTTTGTGTTGTTTTTTTAAATGGAAGATTAACTTTTTATGTGAAAGTCAGTTACAGAGATAGAGAGGGAGAAACAGAGAGAGAGGAAGAGAGAGAGAGAGAGGTCTTCCATTTTCTGTTTCATTCCACAGATGCCACTCCTGCCAGGGCTGGGCAAGGTAGCAGCCAGGAGCCAGAAGCTTCATCCAGCCCTGCCACATGGGTGTAGGGGACCAGACATTTGGGCCATTTCCACTGTTTTCCCAGTCAAGTTGCATGGAGCTGGATTGAACATGGAACCTCTGGACACAAACCAGTGACCGTACTGAATCTTGTATTGTAGGAGGTGGCTGCCAGTCCACAACACAGGACCCTGAAGAACATGTTGATTACGTTACCTTTCTTTGGCTAACTTTGATGTCTTACATTTGATTAATTTCATAGCTACAGGTAGCAGATGTTGAAAACTGAAAGCTCTATTAAGATCTAACAATTTTTGCTAATGATAAAGAACATCAGGTAAATGTCAGTTCTTTACTTTCTCTGAAGATGTCCTCCAGCTGAACATCAAGTGTATAGACACCTGCTCCTCCATTTTTCTCTGCCTCTTCTTGCCAATGTTTTCCAATCTCTTTCTCTCTCTCTCTCTCTCTCTCTCTCACACACACACACACACACACACACACACACACACACTCCTTCCCTTTTTGCTCTGTTTTAGGCTGGTATAGATTTGTGATCCTGGGGCTATGTCTCCATTTTTTTGAGTTAACTTCTCAGGTGGCTTCCTAAGAAAAAAGTTATGGTATTGGCAGCAATTCAAAACTGTTGAACTATCAAAATCACTTGAGCAGGACCCTTGGAGCATGCCCCACATTGGGGACCTTGGATGGTTGGGAGGCTGGGTGGGGCTTCTTCCTTTTTCTATCCCCTTACCCTAGATCCAGAAAAAAAGCAACAATAATAATAATGTGGAAACAAAGGTCTTACCCACTTTCCTGTAGCCCTTGGCCTTCTGTGCCCAAATCAGCTATGTAAAGATTGCCAAAATAAAATTATTACAAAAAGGAGAAAAATGTTATAGAAGGTAATTTTTTTTGAGTCATTGCTAATTTAAACTTCTTTATTCTACTCAGACACTTGATGGCCAGTCTACACAGGCAGAAACCTAGTCAAAGTCATCGTCCCTTTGAAATCTGAACGCATTTTCCACTGTCTTTTCTAGTTTTAGGAAGTTCTGGCTGGATCTGATGCTCCTTCATTTGAAGCTTTAAGTCAATGCTGTCATCTTAGTGTCTGACATGGGGTGACGGGGCTTTGTAATTAATTTATTGCAGCCAACGTCGGTTGGGCCTCCTATGTCAATCTAAGGCAATACATTTCAGAATGAAGACAAGTGCTCTTGTTTCTTTGATAAATCTTCCAGGTCTCCTGCCTTCTCGCATCTCTTGCTGATGGACCTGTTCATCTTAGCCTCTGTTTTTCTTTACTATTTCTTATTTCTTCCCCCAAATATTATTTTCTTGAGATTTTTGAAAAATTTGTCCTTTAATTTAATCACTGGGCTTATGGAATTGTATCCACAATCTTAAAGCTCATTGTTCTCCGATTGGCACAAGTAAGGGGCTAGAACCTCGATTCGAAGTTCTATGCTTATGTCGCTTGATGCTCTTTATTCAGCAAATAGCATCTCAACTGTTAGCATGTGGAGAACTTTATCCTGTGGTCTCTGCCAGAGGAGAGCCCTACAATCTCCTTTTTTAGGAGAATGGTAGAGGAGTGGTATGCACCTGCTGTTGCATGGGAAGAGTTTGAGGCTGGTCTCACGTAATTCCCACATTGTCAGCTCCTGACTCCCCTCTGCTCACAGCTAAACAAGATGCCACTCAATTCAAAAGTCTTCAGATTCAACTGCTGGGATTCTGCTTCTAAGGGAAGGAAGATATTGTGGGAAGTAGAGGGAGTGGCAACCTGGTTATTTAGGGTAGGGAGAAACGGGAGGTTTTAATTTTCCATTTTGTGGCTTTTAATCATGACTTTCTCTTCTTCTAGTTTATGCCTGTCCCCAACCTTTGGTATCCTGTGAACTCTCAAATGCTGATTTTTTCTTAAAATTGGTATTCTGCATCTCTGTTCACCTAAGACGTTTATAGTTTAACCTCTCTACTAAGTCAGTTAAACTTCTTTCTTCCTTCTTCAAAATTTTGTTTTCTTCTTGATTTTTCTCTTTAGTTCTTTTTGGTAAATACCCCTTTTAAAAAAGATTATGGATAGGGATTTGGTCTAGCAATTGAGATGGGGGTTAAGGTGACCATATCCACTAATACAATGCCTGGTTTGAATTCTTGCTCCTCTGTTTCTTCCAGGGATACTTCTGGACTCACAAAGTGTCACTCTCATGTCCTCAACTACTCACTTTCAAAATGATGGGTCATCCAGAGATATGTTTCCAGAACCCCACCTACTGTTTCCAGGACTGATTTCAAACACCAGGTTGGAGAGAGCTCTCCTATCAGAGTGGTGAGTACCCGTGTGTTTACAGAGATCTGTGGCAGAATCGCAACTCTGGACAAAGTTGTTAAAGCTTTGTGTCTCTACGTTTCATACTAGCAGTTGTCATCCGCTTGTCATTTGTCTTTTGCTCTAGCCTGGCTACCCCTTTGATTGAAAGATTAAGGGTGTCCTCACTTTGCCCCCTCTCAAAGCAGGCTTTGGGACCAACCCTGAACATAGAGGAGTATTTGTTGAGCTGTAGACCAGCAGTTGATGTTGCTGGACCTTCTGTTTCATGCCCAGTTTCAGTCACTGTCTGTCTCAGGTGCTTGTGCCTGAGTCAGTTTGCTGACTACGCCCCCCTATTTTTCCATGACTAAAGTTTTGGTTCATTACTCACTTGCACAGTCAGGCAAGAAGCTTCCCTCCCGTCTGTTCCCCAGTGTGTGGAGCCTTCTCTTTACCACCACTCATCCCTGAAACTCCTCGCTAATCTCACTTCAGGTCTGGATCCCCTAGTCCCACCTGCTCGAGGATTTCTCTTGCTTCCTTCCACCTGCTTCCCACAGTCTAGACCTTTTGTTAAGCTCTGGATTCCTCTTGTCCATTTTTGGCAGATTAGCTGTGAGGCCAGGGACTTTCTTGCCCATACCATGTGCTGCAAGTCCCCTGATTCTTTTCAGATGGAAGCTTCCCACATTGTGTTATTTGCGGGGACTCTGGGCAAGGCTTGCTGATACCTCGCATTTATGGGATTCTCATAGTCTCACTGCATGGAATTTTCACCCCTGTGGAGTTTTCAAGAATCTAAACTCAAAAATCAAGTTCCTCCAGAAAGAAACATACTCAAACTTTTCTTGGAAAATGTATGTGCGAGGCAGATGTTGAAGAATAGAGGAGAGCCCTGGGATGCAAACTCCCATATTTATAAGTTAACCCAATGTCATGTGCCCATTATGTAAGTAGTTACTCTCTTGCCCTTTGCACTTTTTAAGCTGTGACCTGACAGGTTTCTTGGGCTTCCCTTAGACCTACACTGTAACGTCACACCTTTTTATTTTTGAAGCACGTGTTTTCTATGACATACTTTTCTTATCGTATACCTGAGTAAATGTCACTTTTTACAAAACCAGGCTTCAGTTACATAACATATCTGTGATACTTGCTCCCCCCAAAACTTCTAAATAATTTCTGTAACTTATATAAAATCACATTACAATGCATCAAATATAATAATTTCCTTTTCTAGACTATGACTGTTAGGAAAAACTTGGCTTTAAAAGTTTAGGTTTAGAACTTTTTCAAACTGACACAGTATTTGTATTTTGTACTAATATAAAGGACACAGAACATTTCCTGGGCCACATTCATTTTTTGTGACTTAGTCATATCAAAATAATGTTTTCAACTTACCCTGCAGGCATCATAAATTCCTTCCAAATATCCAGCGCAAAACATTCCAAATTTTATATCATTGCCATAAACCTGTGGTTGTTTGCACACATCATTGCTTATGAGTTTCAGTCTGGCTTCTCTTAGGTCGTTTTGAGATTCCCCTTAAGAAAAACATAGTAATTTTAGTACTCACAATCAGTATCCCTAGCTAGATTGAAGCAGAGAGACCACTTTTAATATTTTGTTTTATTTCATTTATTTTGAAACACAAAGTTACAAAGACAGAGAGGGACAGACTGAGACAGAGGGAGATTTTCAGTTTGCTGGTTTTCCTCCCAAATGGCTCCATAGCCAGGGCTGGACGAGACCGAAGCCAAGGGCCAGGAGCTTCATCCAGATCTCCCATGTGTTTGCAGAGCCCCAAATACTTGGGCCATTTATCATTGCTTCTCAAGGTGCATTAGCAGGGAGTGGGATGGCAATGGTGCAGCTGAAATTTAAAGTGGCTCGCATATAGAATGCTAGAAAATCAGGCAGGAGCTTAACTCGCTATACCGCATTGCTTGCCTCACAGATATGTTTTTTTTCCTAATATTTTTATGCTAAAATTGTCACACAGAATGAGTTCAATGTAAGTAGTTTCTAAGAAAAAAGGATTTTCTGCAAAAAATTTAACACATTTACTAAATATTATCCTATAGCATTTTATACATATTGTTTCAAAAAAAACATAGAAATTCGGTTTCTTATGTTTTTATTTCAGAAACAATTAATTAATATACTTAAAGGTGTCATTGCATTTCATAAAGTTTGCACTTATGGGTCCCAGAAAGCTCACAGCTAGTTTAAGTGCCTGGATAATCTTTCTAGATGTAATAAAATAGCTGTCGTACTCTGTGCATTTGCTTTGTACTCTATATTTTATGAAGGACTTTCACATATATCCTTTCTGGAATAAAACTGAACCAATTAAGCCTATAAGAAGCGTATCTTAGTAAGGAAGCACTCTAAGAAACAAGGAGAAAGATGTAGGGCCCAGCATGTTAGTGTAGTGCTTAAAGGAGGAGGATGCTCATTTCACCACTTTTATTCAGCATTGCACTGGAAGTTCTAGCCAGAGCAGCCAGGCAAGAGAAAGAAACAAAAGGGCTCCAAAATTTGGAAAGAGGAAGTCAGACTGTCTCCATGTTCATATACGGAGGAAACCCCAGACTCTAGCAGACCACTGTTAGAACTGAAAAACAAATTTAGCAAAGTTGCAAATAAAATATAACATCCAAAATCAGTTGCATTTCTATATAACAACAGCGAATTATATGAAAAAAATGAAATCAATAAAATTTACAATAGCTACAAAAAACAAACAAGAAACAAGTAAACAAAAACCCCATTAAAATAAATTTAACAAAAAAGATGAAAAGTGAAAGCTATAAAATATAGAGCAAAGAAATGGGAGAGAATAGAAAATATGGAAAGGAATCTAAATGACAGAGTTAATTTCAGTGAAATGTTCATGGTGCTCAAAATAACACATAGATCCATTGCAATTCCCATCAAAAAATATCCATGCAGCTATTCACAGAAATAGAAATCCTAAAATTTGTAGAAATTAAAAAGAAAAACCCTGAACTGTCAAAATAAGTTTGTAAAAAAAGAAGAAAGCAAGGAGCATTACACTTCCGACTCTAAAATATGCTACAAAACTTTAATAATCAAAGCAGAATGATATGAGCATAAATTAAAGATGACACACAGGGCCAGCATTGTGTGTACCAGGGTCACCAGCGTCCCCATGTGGGAGCTGATTCTGGTCCCTGCTGTTCCAAGACCGGCCGTAATCAATGCTGTGCTGTTAGTGCTGGCTGGAAGAGTCTGGCTCCTCATTCACATGACAGCAGATCTATTTCTGTGGCCATTGCAGACTGGGCATCCACTAAACCAAGAGGGAATTGCAATGTTCCCTGACCACCTCCCCCCCCCCATCATTCTGAAGCACAGATTGCAAACTGTGTCTAGAGACAAAATCCACCAGAGAGGCTGCAAAGCAGGTGTCAGATTTGCAACTCTACAAAAATTGGTAAACTGTAATATTTTCAGTGACTGAAAGAATGACAAAATCAATGAGTATTTTAGCTTGTCTGAGATGGACCAAACCACATGGAGTATTTGCAAATGGTCTAGAGACCACTAAGCATATTTTTGTCCAAGATAATGCCAGGTAATTCTTTGTTCCAGGGGTTTATCACTAGTTTTATGTGTGTGTACATATATATATGCATATATACACACACATATGTACACACACATATACACATATATAAATTGTATTGAATTTGGTGAGTAAATTTTGTCATTCTTGCAGAGCTCTTTTTTCATCTTAAGAATCAAAGACTTCAAAAATATGCCTGAGAGTGCACAATTCATGTTTAGATGAATACATCTGGTTGAATCATTTTCGACAGCATGCTTTGATGATTTTTCCGTATTGTTAACACTGCAGTAAACTGTGCTGCATGATCAACGAGCGTACTCCCCGACACAGACGTCTGGGATTTCTGTGGCACAGGGCTTCGGGGTGCAAGGAGTGGTGGGGGTGAGGAATGTTCCTGAGTGTGGATGGTGTAAACCTTGAGTTGTTGTTGCCCACGCTTGCCACTATATGGCGCCAGAATCCCTCCAAACCCTGTAAACTGAGTGCATCTGAAACCAGCCTTCATTGAATCCCAAATTACTAAGACTAAAATTTTCTGGTTTCACCAGATTTCCTATGTTTTTACTGTTTGTAAATTAAGAGCTCTGACTTGTCCACTCAAGTTGTGTGGAGATGGCAGGCAGGGTAATGCAGGCGGAGAGATGTGGGTGGGGTTTAGTGCTGTGCTAACTTTTCGGAGATGCTCACCACCATAGTAAAGTGCTCCAAATCCCGTGATGTAGACCGTGGAGTTTGGACGGAAGGAAGCAGAAGCTTCCGGCAAACACACGCGGCGTATGTCATCCGAAAAAGTGACTCTGGGAGAGAACTGCACCACAGCAATGTCGTACTCTCTCGCTGGGGAGCGGTACCGCTCATGGACAATGATTCTCTTGACATTTCTTTTCATTAAGGGAGGGTTTATCGTCGTCCCGAAACTAACTGTCCATTGTCGTGGATTTGCATTACTGGAAAAGATTGGAAAGAAGTGCAGTGAGTGAATCTCACAAGATTCTTGCTTGCAATGATCGTTTTCTGCAGTCTACAGGTAAAAGATATGCAATTGACAGATTTGAAATTCAGTACAGAATTATTGCAGCTTAAAAACACGAGCCACATGCAGTATCATTCATGTATTCCTTCAGCAAATATTTGTTGAGCATTCATGTGGCAAATCTTACCCAAAGAGCTGGGAATAAAGTCATGAACAAGACAGAAGATTCCTGTTCATGGCAAGATGAGACGGAAAACCGTCAAGGCACATTAAGAAGTAGATATCATCAATGAATAAGGCCATGAAGTAAATGAAATAGGATGGTGGGAAAGAATACTAGGGGTAGTCCAGGAAGACTTCTGGGGGTGTGTGTGTGTGTGGCATATTTGGTTAAGATATAGCTGGTGGGAAGTCAGCCACGAAATCTGGTCCACGTTTTCAGGCCTTGGGCTAATGGGCTACAATTCAAGACATGAGGGAAAGAGTCATGGAGGGTGAGGTTGGATACGTGGACAGGAATCCAGTCTCCGGGTGTCTGAAAGGTCTTGATTACATGTGTTTTTATTTGAGTGACTCTTTAGATTTTATTTATTTTTATTGATAAAGCAGATATAGAGAGGGGGGAAAAGGAAGATCTTTCGTCCGATGATTCACTCCCCAAATGCTGCAACGGCTGGAGCTGAACCAATCCGAAACCAGGAGCCAGGAGGCTCTTTCGGGTCTCCCACGTGGGTGCAGGAACCCAAGATTTTGGGCCATCCTCGACTGCTTTTCCAGGTCACAAGCAGGGAGCTGGATGGGAAGTGGGGCTGCCAGGATAATGAACCAGCGCCCATGTGGGATCCCGGCGTGTTCAAGGTGAGAACTTTAGCCGCTACACCGTCGTGCTGGGCCCCAGTGAATGCTTTTAAGGAGAGGAATGATATTGCCTAGTCTACATTAAAAAAATAATAATAATGGTTCTTCCTGGAGAACAGAGTGTTGCTGCTGAGGGCGGAGATGATGCAGGGTGGCTGACCCACAGCTGGTGGCTTTGGGCATGGTGCTCACAGATGGCCTTGAGTGACTGCTGGGTCATGGTACTCACGGACTTCACAGAGATGACTTGGTGATGCTATGGCCGTCTAGGAAAGCATTCTTCAAGAAGGCTTAGTAGGTGGCACTGTCCAGTACCAGATGTCAGCCTGCCCTCTCTGCTCTTCATTTTGTAGGATTCTGTCCTCACCAAAACACATCTACTCATAGCAAGATTAATGTGCTTGGACTAAATCCTTGAAATATAGTTACTCATAAGAGATGCACAAAGAGACAGGCACCATCCATTTACATAGGATTGTCTCTTAAAATGATTATTTGATAGATGACTTTAATCATAGAAAAAGCATATAAACATATCATTGGGGTTTAACTTCAGTTTGGAAGCTATTAATCATGCTGGGATTATTATTTGTTTCTTTCATATACCATTTTGATATTTAAAATAGTCAAATGAGAAAAGCTGTAAAGGACCATAAAGGAACTTACAACATAAATATTGACATGTTGGTTTATAAATTGGTCTGCTGTGGATTTTATGGGTGCAGAGCAGTTTTCACAAAAAATCTTATGTAGATGAACTTATCATAAATAAAATTTTTGATCATGAGCTTGTAAAGGTCAAATTTCAAATTATTTTTACTCAAGTGGGAAGGGTCATTCTGGAGCTTTTGAAGAACGGAGTGATACTATTTAATATAACTTGTGTTTATTATGCTTTTAAATGACAAACCTTAAAATAAAGACATACCAAATCAAGATGAAGAATAAACTTTCTAAACTTTTACCTTAACTTGAAATTAAAAAGATGAACTTTAATAGTGATAAATATATTTTTACTAAAAAATGTTCATGTGATAAGATCTCTTAAATGCTGTCAATATTAAAATGAAATAATATCAAATAATCTCAGAACATGAAAGATCCTTAAGAAATAATTCTATTTTTTACATTAATCCAGTGTTTGAAGGAAATTTTGGCATCAGGAAGACGTGTGCTGGTTTTCATTGCCACCATCCCCTGACATTGCAGCCATGGGCAAGTTGTTTCATTTTTCTAATTTCCTTCATTAAAAAAAACACAAAAAACCAAAACAAAAAACAAAAAAAAACCAAAAAAAAAAAAAAAAACCTGGAGAGGAGGGGGAACCTTCAGAGGAGAGTTCACCTGGCAAGTTGGATGCCAGAATTGCATAAAGCGAATTACTATGCTCCTAACCAAATAGCATAGTGGAGTTTAATGCTTGGCAGTGGTTGTTACAAAAACACTTTCAAGTCGTGATTGTTTACGCTTGAACTCTCCTGCAATGGAGGCTATGTTCTTTCGCATCTCTTTTCACTTTGGAATTCCTTTCTTGTTTGAGAAGTTCTGCCTGTTAGCAAGTCCTTTCTTGATTTCCCAACTCTCTCCTCTGTGAGAACGCCTCAGAAGTTCTAGTGTAACTTTCAGTTGTACTACAGTTTTCTCAGAATGTACTTTTTTTTTTAGTCCTAAGATAATGTTTCTCAAAGTTTGACGTATACACAAATAATCCCAGGAGCTTACTGAAGTGTGTCTCCTGCCTGTTTCTGTAGGTCTGGGGTGGGCTCTGATATCCTTTCATTTCTAATAAATGACCCAATCATGTGGGAGCTTTTGATCTGTGGATCTTTGAGGGTCAAAGCTTATGGAAATATTACTTCTTTCCTTTACCTTTCCTTTAACACTGTCTCATGCAAAAGCATTTCATTTTGTCAAGTTTCTTTAAATGTCACCCTGGATACAGTCTCTGTGCCAAGTAAGATTTGACCAATTCTGTTGAATCATTTAATGCAATCTTAGTCACAAACTAGCGCCGTGACAACTGACTCAACATGAACTAAGTTTTGCAAAAAATTCCAAACTCTTCTTCTTAAAACTTAAAGCATATTCCTACTCTCTGTACTGATACAATTGAGTTTTGTTTTTTAACTAACCTAGAGCCTTATATTTATTCTTTTTTTAATTTTCTTTTATGACACAGATTCATAGGCTCTGGGATTCTCCCAACCCCTCCCTTATATTTATTCTTGCTAAACTTAATCATTTGCTTGTTACTCATTATTGTTAGATAACTAAAGCTCTTTTCAATTTTGTGTTTTTTTTTATCCAACACTCCAGTTTCTAGCCTTATGGTATTAGCTGATTTGGCTTCCACATCATCTGCTAAGTCTATAAAAGTCTATTGTCTGGGACACAGTAAAGGCTATAAATGCATCCTCAGTAGTTCAACAGACGCTCTGAATCATCCAGCTTTTGGTAGAGGTGCTTAGTTACTAAGCTGCTTGCTACGTGTGCATTTAATTTATATTATTTATTTTTCTCTAAGCCTTCCTATTTTATTTGTCACATATGACAGTTGTCTTACTATCTATTTTGACATGTTTGTTTCTTGGAAGCATATTTAAGGGATATATTGACAGTAAGTAAAATATTTAGAGAAAAAACCAGTATGATAGAGTATCTACAAAGTAGGTACTGGGAAAATAGTCATGGTGCTTATGCTTCATTCATTCATCCTTCAGAGATTCTATGCTTGCTGTGAACAATAACTAAGAAATTTTTTTATATAGACTACAGAAGAAATAAATTTGCTCTCTCTTGTTCCAGGTAAGACAACAAATATTAGTGGTAGAAATTATTGGAGTGTACATTTAGTGTTAAATGCTACTAAGGTGTCTTGTGAGTGCTTGGTGCAGTGGTAATGTCATCTGTTTAGCATAGTTTTTCACCTCTGTTTCTGATACCAGCTTCGTGCTAATTCACACTGTGGAATGATCAGGTGATGGCTTATGCATTTCAGTGTTTGCCAGTCATCTGGGAGGTTTTACTTGAATTTGGGACTTTTGGCTTTTATGAGGCCCAGCCTTGCATATTGAGAACATGTATGAATCAAAAGAAATAAATGTGATTTAAAAAAATAGAACTACTTATTACAAATTGAACCAACTTTGGCAAAGTAAACTTCCTACTACATGCCCAAACTAGACACCTACATAAGGAACGTCAAACTCCTAACAAATAAGCCCATGGCACCCTCATGATTTTTGATCATCAAGAATCTGTATAGAATCTTACAGGAAGTAATAGAGGGTGAACCTGACCAATCTATAGTCAATGACATATTGAGTGGGGGGAAATGTGAGCCTGTTTCTTCTAAGCCCTAGAGTTAGAGGCATGAATGTCCATAATCATTGCTCTTATTCAATACAGAATTTGAAGTTTTAACCAGAGAAGTTAGTCTAGACAAATAAATAAAAGGTATGCAAATAGGAAAGGAGGAAGTCAAATTATACCTGTATACAAGTGATATGATTTTATTCATAGAGGAATATAAATACCCTAGAGATATTTGAACTGCTGAATTTAGTAAAGTTCAAGATACAAATCAACTCACAAAAATCAATAACATTTTTATAAATCAGTAATGAATTTTGTAAGAAAGAGAGCATAATAACTATCTTATTTTAAAAAATTATTTGATTAATTTAACCAAGGGTTTTAAGGAATTCTATACTGAAAATTATATCACAGCAATGAAAGAAATTAAAGAGGACACAAGAGATTGATGATATATTTTCCCCTGTCTGCAAAATGAAAGAGTATATTACTAAAACATGCATACTACCTGAAACAAGGTTCAGATTCAATGCCATCAAAATATCAACTACATTATTGATGGAACTAGAAGAAAATTCCCAAGTCACAAAAATCCTCAACTAGCCAAAGCAATTCTGAACAAAAAGACTACAAGTATCACAATATTAGATTTCAAGATGCATTATAAAACTGTTGTAACCCAAATGAGGAATTGGCATACACACACACACACACACACACACACACACACACACACACGACAAAGATGGCAGTGGAGCACAACAGAGGCTCCAGAAATGAATCATGGATCCACAACATACAGTTGGTAAAAATATGGCTGGGGAAAGGACAGCCTCTTCAATAAACAGTGCTGGGATGTCCATATGCAAAGGAGTGAAACTGCTTCCCTCCACCTCTCTATTTGACCTAAATGGATCCAAATGGATCAGTCAAAATGGACCAAACTTCTAAATGTAAGATGTGAAACTAATTATGAAACCACTTGAAGAAAATATAGAAGAAATACTTCCAGATATCAGTATAGGCACCAACTCTTTGGACAAGGACTCAAGTAGAGGCAACACAAGCGAAACTAGACACACGGGATTATACCCAAATTCAAAGGTTCTGTAGGGCAAAGGAAAGAGTCACAAACTTGAAGAGACAGCCTTCAGGATGGGAGAAAATACTGGCAAATGACACAATTGACAAGTGATTGCTATAAAGTATTTATAAACATCTCAAAAACAGCACGAAGAAGCAATCTGCTTAAGAAATAGACAAAGGATTAGAGCAGAAATTTTTCAAAAAAAAAAAAAAGAAAGAATGAAAGAAATAGAGTTGACCAACAAGTATATGAACAAACATTCAACATTATCAAGTGTCAGGAAAATGTAAATCGGTAGCAATGGACTGGGGCAGGCACTTGGGCAGACAGTTAAGGCGTTGACTGGAATGCCTGCATTTGAGCCTCAGCTACACTCCCAGCTCCAGCTTCTGCTAATGTGCACCATTAGCAAAAATTGATCGTTTAAGAAGTTCTGGCCCTGTCACCCACCTGGATTTGAATTTGCAGCTCCTGGCTTCAATGTGGCCCACCCAGTACCAGCTACTGTGATCCAGCAGATTGGAATTTTCTCTGAATTTAAACCAGGTGAATAAATTTCAAAAATTTAAAACTATAGTGAATTATCATCTTATGCCAGTTAGAATAATTAGTATCCAAAAAAGAAAAAAATGGCAACTACTGGTAAGGATGTGTAGAAAGGGGGTCCAACCACTGCTGGTACTGTGGGGTACAAATTAATACAGCCAGTGTGGGATCAAATTAATACAGCTAGTTTGGGGGACAAAGTACTACAGCCAGTGTGGGGAACAAATTAGTACGGCCAACAACAGAGAACAGTATGGAAACTTTTTAAAAATAGTGAGTAAAATGATCATATAGTCCAGTTACCACGTTTCTGAGCGTGTATCCAAAGGAACTGAAATTGGTATATGTAAAATACACTGTTTATTGCAGCACTATTCACAATGGCCAGGATGTAATCAGTTTAGATGTTCATTTAAGATGAGTGGATAAAGAAAATGTGATATATTTATACATACATGTTGGAACAGCAATGATTCAAAAAATAAGATTCAAGTCTTGGCTGCCCCACTTCTGATCCAGCTTCTTGCTAATGTGTCTGGCAAAGCAGTAGAGGATGACTCAGGTCCTTGAACCCCCGCATCCTCATTAGAAACATGGAAGAAGCTCCTGGCTCCTGGCTTCAAGTTGACACAGCTCTGCCTATTGTGGCCATTTGGAGAATAAGCCAGTAGATGGAAGACCTCTCTCTGTCTCACTCTCAGTCTTCCCACACTCCCCCCATACCTTACCTTTCAAATAAATGAAAATAAACCTTAAAAAATTCCAGTGACTTGATTTATAAATATGGGGATAATGATCGTTATCCTATCTATTCATACAAAAAGTTTCAAGTAAGTAAGCATTCAAGTGTAGCATCATTTTTTTCAGAAGAAGCTGGTTTTCTGATTTCATTTTAATCATAATTGGTACATTCATAGTACTGAGAGTATGACAAAACTCAGGGATTTATTACTACTGCGGTCCAGGATTTAAGGTCAAAGCTTCCTTCTCTATTATTGTTTTTCGTGATAGAGTTCCAAAGGCTTACTTCTTAAAGCAGTGTGCTGCGGTGATGACCCACGTATTGCTAACCAAGGTAGCACCACACTGGTGGATGTTATCACGCTGAAGGGAAGCTTGCCAAGGCCAGGCAGCCCTGGCTGCAATGTCTCCAGACATGATTCGGTTGACTATTAATGGGACAACACGTTTGCCACAACCTGGAAGAGATGAGATCATTAAATTATAAGAAATCTCGCTCTGATGTTTGAAGCTGAGCCTCCATATAGCATCATCATGCAATATTTGCATCTGCCATTCTATAAGCATGTACTAGTTGATTCTCCATTCTCCATATTTCCTGATGTGTTGAGGCTTTTCCCACTCCCTACTTCTGTAAATGGTGTATTGCCTACAGAAGCTATGTTAGCATGCAAAGATTTGGCACAGCATTTTGAGTTAGATTAGCCCTGGAGACTTGCTACATTAGATATTTAGATAGGTTGGGAGCTTCTACTCCGACTGTTGTTTCTCAGGGAATTCAGCCGGGTTACACTGCCATGAAATCCTTCCTAACAGAATAACAACTCCCCATGGCCACACAGTCATGCATTTGTTTGAATCCCTCCTCTCATCTGTTTCCTGAGCAACTGATTCCTAAAGTCTGCAGGTGTAATTGCACTATGTCTGGTTTCTCACTCTCAGGATACAGGGGTCCTTGCTTCCACACAAATTCATTGCTCTCCTGTCATATGCCCTCAGTTCCTATTCCACCCATTCTAGCATCTTTCAGATGCAAAAAAATGAGCTCTCTGGTGCTGAAGACATCCTTATAAGTAGCTGCGTCCGCCTGGGACACTCATGTCACCTATTGCTTCATCTGTGGCCTCTCTCTCCCTTTTATCTTGAAGGTCATTTCCAACCTCACAAGAACAGGGTAGCTTGGATGATTTCTTCCAGCATGGTGTAGCGTGTATTTACGTATTTTAATACTTCTTGATTTATTTATGTCTTTCTTATTCTTTGAACACTAACTTGCATGTTAGTTTCTCATGAAGAAAAACTACCAGTCCTGCCACACTTTCTGGTATTTGGCACATGTTAAAAGATATTTGCTAAGAAAATGAATAAATAGGTAAATACAGGTATTTGACATATTTCCAAAGGGCAGGGACAAATGCCTGTAGGATATTGCTCAAATTCAGGACCATTTTAAAAAATCTTCCAGATTGTACACAAGTAGTTTGAAATAGATCAGTAAAGCTTTTGCTAAGGGGATAAAGATATTAAGCACATATTTTAGGCCAGCCACTGATAGAAGTTTCTTTCCTCTATATGGATCATTTTCATATTTTTTATCTTTCAGCAGAAAGCACATTTCATAACATGAAATAAATTTGAAAAGCAAGTCCACATTTTCCAGACCAGAAACATGTATGTGCTTCAAATTATATAATGTCTTTCTTGAATATGACTGAAAGATCAGTCTAAGATTTACAAAAAAAGTGTATTTGACATTCGTTGCCTGATTGTTATTCTCAAAGATATTGTGGGACATGGATAGGAAATTATGAGCTAAGATTTGAAGATGTCCTTTCTGATGTGGAAGTTGAACTTGTTTATTTAAGCTAACTAGACTTACATGCTTGGACAGTTAGCTCTCCTGTTGATGAGCTCATTGCTGAAAAACAAAGAGCAAAGAGTGGTAATATGAGATTCTCCTAGATGGCCTCAATAACCAGGAATTATCAGAGAAATCTGATCACATGTAGATAGTAGACAATCGGACATGCATATCAGTCAGGATAGTGACTATCTAATGATAATTTTTGAAGAGACTTATGGGCAACTAGTAATTAGGTGGATAATATCTGAAACAGTGCCCGAGTAAGGCACAAACAGCATATGATTAAAACCCATGCAAGTAATTGCAGTTCCAAAGTGTAGGGTGAGATCTCCTTGCATTCCACTTCAGGAGATGGGACAGAGGGAGCCAGGAGAAGCATGCCAGGCTTTCCTTCCAGCCTCCTAGGATTTTACACGAGCCTTGCTTTTCTAAGAATTTAGGATTAAAAAAAAAAAATTGAAGGGCCTGGTGAGATAGCATAGTGGCTGAATCGTTGCTTTGCAACCTCTGGGATCCTTTATGGGTGTGGGTCATATCCCAGATGCTCCACTTCCAATCCAGCTCCCTATTGATGGCTTGAGATGGCAGTGAAGGAGGGCCCAAGTCCTTGGGATCCCACACACCTGTGTAGGAGACTCAGAGGAGGCTCCTGTCTCCTGGCTTCAGATCAGCTCTGCTATGGTCCTTGTAGTCATGTGGGGAGTGAATCAGTGGATGGAAGATCTTTCTCTCTGTCTCTCCTTTTCTCTGTTATATTTGCCTTTCCAACAAAAGTAAAATAAATCTTCAAAAAAAGGTTTTTTTTTTTTAGAAATATATCCACATGAACTATCCTGAAAATATTTCTAAGCTACAGTTTCCTGAGTGATCACAATTAATTTTTCTCATAAATACATGTTTATGTGTACTTATTCAACAACTGTACAGTATTGGTAACCACCTAAGATTAAATTCTGTCAGTTTCTGGCAAAGTTAGGAAATTTATAAAGTAAACACAAACTTTTAACCTGGTATATGTATACACTAGTTTCATGCTATATATCATAAATGATTTTTTATTGTTAGCCTTAATAAAGAGGAAAAATAAACCTAAATTAATGAAAGGTTTATTAAAGCTGTTAATATTTTCACATTAAAATGGCTTACTAAGAAGAGGAAGATAAACCATTTTGGTCTTTCCTCCCAGTGCTACTTCTCAGACTTACATTGTCAACATCTTAGTCTCCATGGTGCAAAGTAAGATTGTTTCAATCTACTAACTTTCTATAAATCTTTCTTAGGAAATTAGTTGTGATCAACTGTACAAAACAGAAAATTTGAAAATAATCTAACACAAGGAACCTCATAGAAGCATCTCGAAATGGCTGCATAGTAAAGAATCAGTTGCTCATTATGCATGTTCAATGCCTATAGAAAAGACTCAATTTTCTGTCAAATACTGTTTCAGGTAGTTAACTTCTTGCTTCAACTTTAGAAAGTTTCTTTAATTTAGAAAATTTTATTAAATTTGTCTTTAGTAAAACATTAAGATGGAAAACAGTATAATGATAGAAGGTTTTACTTAAAACCCGGTCTTTTTATTCTCCACTAGGTGAGCATAATGGTTGTGAGTGTAACTGGATTTTGATGATGGGATTTTCAGAAAGAATAATTATACTTGGAGCCATAATACAACACAGAATTAACTGGTTGCTGAGTGTTTTAATCTTGATCCAATATTTTTACTTTTCAGATATAGGAATAAAAAAATAACAGGACATTGTTGGCAACCTAACACTGAATTTTCAAAATCTCACAGGGCTTTCTGAAATATGTGTATCCTGATGGGAAATGGAATTGTGCTAAAATGACCATAAGATACTTGACCAGAGTCCTGGTGTTTAAAATATAAAGAAGGTGATTTTCACATTTCTTTGACACATTGCATCTCCTGGGGGACCCACATCACCTATTTATTTGTCAAAGTAAAACACAGATTCCTGAAAACTGTGGTTAAATGTTGGGTTGCAGGATGATTTCTTGACTTGGTCTACAGGATCCACAAGTCGGAAAATTAAGTGTTCCTGAAACACAGTGCTTTTGTATCTAAGAATTACTTAAAGGATCCCTCTGAACTTTCCCTTAGTCTTCTCTGCTCTGTATATTTGTCTGAAAACTCCAAGATTTTAGTTCTTTCTGTGACCAGTCACAATAATGCTTCATTTCCAAAGCATAGGCATAACCTGACAGCTTTTTCAGTAACCTCTGTGTTCTAACACTGTTTTCTATTTTCTCACATGTTCTCATAATATCACAGTTCCGAATACAGAAAGAAAAGCATGGGCTGATTACCTGGGTGATCCTGCAGTGACTCAATGGGGTTAGAATTAGTCAGAGACCTCCCAAATCAGCTTTCCCATCAGCACAACCCTCCTTTTAATCTAGTGCAGTCATTAGAGTAAGATGGAACTCACAGCCAGTGGGAGACAGAAAGGCAGGGAGTCATCATGTCATGCTTTATTTCTAGCTTCTGATGGTCCAGCCTTCTAAAATCCTGACAAATTAAATGGTTATTGGAAACTACAGAGAACATAGCACGTAACTTATCAGAATGACCACAATTTCACAACTTCATTTGCCTCCCCACCTAACAAAGAAGGTGGATTAGGCAGTTGGCAGTTTCCTTCCTCTTGGCTGGGAGAGGTCCACAGCTTTATGCCCTGAGTAGCTGACTCTTTGTCCCATCAACAAGCCTCTGCCCATTCCATTACCTTAGATATTTACTTCCTGATAAGGTTTCTTCCTGAAGATTCAGCTATATCCTTGTAAGGGCAGTACATCCTGTTTCAATCACTTGCCTTGATTCTCTTCTGTGATTCTCTTAAGTCTGGGATTTACTGGAATTTGTAAGGAATCTGCACTTTTGGCTAGAAACAGATGCAATTTTGTGGACAAGGACAGAACAGTTTGTCTTGCTGTGCCCTATAGAATCTTTAATATGATAATATAAAGGATAGAATTTCATAAGCAATATTTCTAAAATATGTTTCCATACAAACTCTTTTTCACGGTGCCTCTTAAAATTAGAAATACAAACTTCAATCTTGTCTCCCTTCAGACACTAGATTCCCTAGACATTAGATGCCCTATGTTCTTTGTTCTTTCCCATCAACAAAGATGAATTTACTTAGTTCATTGGAATTAGATATTCCTTCTAAAAAACATAGAGATAGGGACTGGCATCGCAGCTCACAGGTTAAGCTGTCACTTGCCCATATCAGAGTATCAGTTTGAATCTTTGCTATTCTTTGATTGTTTTATTAGAAAGTCAGATATACAGAGAAGGAGAGACAGAACAATCTTCTGTCTCTTGTTTCACTCCCCAAATGACTGCAAGGACTAGAGCTGAGCCGAGCTAAAGCCAGGAGCCTCCTCTCGGTCTCCTACATGGGTGTGCGGGATCCCAAGGACTTGGGTCCTCCTTCACTGCCTTCTTAGTCCATAAACCGTAAAGTGAATTGGAAATGGAGGACATGAACTAGTGCCCGTACAGATCTGGATGCTTAGAGGTGGAAGATTCTCTCTGCTGAACCACAGTGCCAGCTGTTCTTTTAATTCCATTTCCTGCTAATGTGCTTCAGAAGACAGTGGAACTTGGCCTGAATGCTTGGTACCCTGCCACCCCATGTGGGAGACGATGCTGAAGTTCCCAGCTCCTGGATTCAAATGGCTATTTCCGGCCATTTATGAAATAAATTAACAGATGGAAAATTTCATTCTGCCTTTCAAAAAATAGCTACATGTTTTTAAGAACATATAGGTTTTGATAAATGTTGGTTTTCTTGCATTTAAATAAGTTATAGATACAGTGGGTTAAGGTATCACTTGAGACACAAATATCGGGTACCATAACGTCTGATTTGAGTCCTGGATGCTCCAAATTTCTGGTCCAGATTCCTGCAGATGTGCCTGGGAAGGCAGCAGATAATGTGCTGAGACTCCTGCCACCTGTGTGGGAGATTCGGAGGGGGTTCTTTTCCCCACCTTGGCCTGGGTTAGCCCTGGTGTGTTACACATTTTGAGGTGAGCCAGTGGAATATTTCTCTCTTTTTTGCCCTCAAAATAAAAAATCATTTTAAAAAATGAGATAATGCTACAGCAAGCTTAAAACACACACACACACCCCATACAGAAGCATAAAAACAAATAAAATTAAACAACCTAGAACAAAGTGTAAATAATTGCAATAATTTCCACCCCTGCCACTTTACAGATTTTTAAAGCATCATTTATAAGATGACTTTAATGTCTCGAGAGTTGGTTTACCATTTTCTCAAATGCTCATGGAACAAAGGGTAACAGAAACCTCACAATGTCAATATGGAAACCATTCGTGCCTTTTAGAGGCACCAGATGAATGTGTGTTTTAGGAAGGTTCCACCCAGAGATGTGGTTGAGGCGCCCAGTTGGTGTTTTTCCTTGCTTAGTCATGGAGGTAGTGTCTGGATCAGATTAACCCCCTGTTAGTAGTAAATGTTTGCCTTTATTCTGGGATGAGTGCCAATCAATTACTACAGGAAAAACCATGTAATGACTAAGTTTAGAGATGCTTTCATCAGAGAATAATAAAATCTGAAAATGTCACTGTTTAATTTGGAATTTTTTCATCTTAATTCCAGCTATCATTTTGAATGGAAAATATGGTGAATAAACATGAACCTCAGGGAGAATTGCAGATCACCAAGAAAGGCGCCTACTTACCATTAACTTGGACAGATGAGGGATTTATCCTCAAGGCTCTTACGTTCCTTATCTTCTGTTTTAAGATGTTATGGACTTTCTTCTCTCTAACTGCCCTTTGTCCAGTGGAGGGGAACTGGAATACCATAACAACATCTGCTTTGACACTATCTTCCTCTGGACTGAGACAAACAAGGAAGAGGAGCATGATCAAAGACTGCAGCACACGACACCCAGAACCATGACACAGATATCGAGAATGTCAAGAGCTGATCCTCTCACAGTCACACTCTCCTGCAGTTCACTTGGGCCCAGAGTCGCTTCAAATGACCCCTCATCCATCGTTCCTCATGAATTGAGTGCATTTTTTTTCTAATTAATTTGAAGGCTTGCTACAACAATTGCTCTTAAAACTGTCTATATAGAATGTTTACTTTTTATATCAAAGTTAAAGATTGAATAAAAGTGCGTATTGATCTTCCACATCTGTTGTTTTTACATGAGCTGAAGTCCACCTTCTGAAAAAAACTAGATTCTTAGCTTCCAAAATATTTGGAGTAAAAAAAAGGAAATCACACTAACTCGGAGACATTTTTTATACTGTGGTATTTTCAGACTCTGGAATATAAGAATGCAAATAAAAGAAATTTTTATGTCAAAGTGGTAAACATGAGCAGCTAATCTTCCCTCCTGGACTAGTGGAGCTAATACTGTGTGTCAAATGGAATTTCTGTGGACACATGCAGAAAATTACATGGGGAAAATACCTATACATTCAAAGTCAATTAATTCCATAATGTTGTATATTGATACTGAGGCCTTGTTGGGGCTTTTAACTGACCGGATCTTTACTCTGTTAGACCTATCTTCAGACCATAGAAAGTCTCCCCAAGAGGCCACTGAACTTATCTGGACAATAAGACGCTGAACTTTATGCTAGGCATGTGTTTGCAAGCAATGAATCTCAACTGAACTTGAACTATGGTTATGCAACAAGGTGGAGGAATCCACCATGGGGGGAGGGGTATGGGAGGGGTGGGGGGAATCCCCAGCGCCTATAAAACTGTACTACATAATACAATGTAAGCAACAATAAAAAAAAAAAAAACAAAAACAAAAACAAAGTTGTTCATAGACTGATCATGTTGGTAGAATGCTATGACAGATCAGAATTTGAAAATAAAAAGCATGAAATCAAAAAAATTTTATCATTTATAAATCTTTTGTTTCCTAAATACAAAAGTCATCAGATCATTGTGGCATCACTGGTTAGTCAGTAATGATGTGAAAATTTGAAATAAGTCTGCCAAAATGTCTTGGTCCATTGATAAGAAAAGTAACTAATTTTCCTTTAGATAAATCCAGTTCTGAATATGTGTTTTTGTGTGTGTGTTGGCTTTTTGTTAAAAGATGAATTGTGATTGGTGCTCAGTGGATTAAGCCATAGCCAGCAGCCCTGGAATTCTGTATGGGAATCAACCTAAGTCCCAGCTGTTCCACTTTCAATTCAGCTCTCTGTTGATGTGCCTAGGAAAGCAGCAGAGAAGGCACAAGTCCTTGGACCCCTGAAACCATATGGGAAACCCAGAATTGACTTTTGGCTTTGGTCTGACCCAGCCCCAACCCCAGCCATTGTGGACAGTGGGGGGTAAAGGTGCAGATGGAAGATTTCTTCCATAGATAGATAGATAGATAGATAGATAGATAGATAGATAGATAGATAATATGTCTTCTTGGAGTCACAGAGGCTGGTAACTTTGTGCCCGCGACATTTTGCTCCTGCTATCTGGCTTTTCTTATTTTAAATCACCGAAGCCTCCAAGCAGTTTCTTCCACTAATACAAGTCTTTCCCCTCCATCATGGCAGAAAGAAATTAATTTCATCAGGGGCGTCATTTTGTTTGGGCATGCTCCTGCCCCTAAGGCTTTATTACAGGTACAATTTATAATCCTATTTTTCTCAACATTGCTTTCTTAATATCTTTGAAATGACATAACAGAAGATCTGATCTCTTGAAGTGATTGTGTGAACATACCTGGAGCAGGCAATAACATGCCACAGGTTTTTCCAAGGCATCTGTCTCTGATAGGTTCCTGGCCTTACAATCAGATGAAGGGTTTGAGTCCTGGATCTGTCACTTAGGAGAAATTGTCCCTTGGGGAAATGTGAATATATCTCTCACCATCCCAGAATCTTAGTATTTTCATTTACAGGATGGTGGTCACTCTATGGCTTGAGACTTGTAGAGATGTTACTTATGAAAACTAGCCAAGAGCCTAGCCCACAGATTCACACCCTCTCTGGAGATCTTTGTCTCCTTTGTCTTTGCCCCTTAAGGATTTTGACCCCTCTTGTACTCAGACATACATACGTCAGTCTGACTACCCGATTCTTGATATAGTGCTTGTTCAAGGCTGAGTCAATAAATATCGCATCCACCTGTTATCACAAGAGAAAAATGTGTTAAAGGGGTATTTTACAAGAATATACTTTTAGTTAAGTGTCAAAGCAATAGAAAAACATCTCACAGAATTAATATCACTATTAAAATCGGTGATTTTAACCTTTACAGTGTGACAGGATCATTTACTGAATTAAAAAAATACATAGCACTCTCTCATAGCTTTGGTTTCAGTTTCTCTGACAGGGAACTGATCATTTAAAAAAGTTTCTCCAGATATCCCATCTAAGTGCTAACCAGGCATGTGGATGAAAAGTTCACTATTTTTTTTTCTCTCCTGTGGTGGACTGTGTACACTAGCTCCGTGTTTAAGGGGGATATATATGGAAGTATAGTGGGAATTAATATGTTCGTAGGTGGAAACAGTGAGAAGGAAGTCCCCATGCATGCAGTGCAAGGATGGACTCACAAATAAATGGCTGATAATGTCCCGACAGTTGGATGTTGGACTCTCTTGACATTGCCCATGCCTACATTGTTGGGAGACACCTCAGTGGCAGCATGATGCACTTGTGAAAGTTCACAAAATGACACCCACTGTAAAACTGGAGGGTAAATCAGTGGGGAGGGGAAGGAACTTGGGGAGGAGGAGTGGAAACCCCAATGCTTATTAAACTGTGTCATAAAACAAAATAATGAAATAAAAGTTTCTCTAGATCATTCTCATATGCTGGTGTAGGGTTGTATGGGCAGAAGATATCTTTCTAAAACTCCAGAGAAATAGTAGCAGCAAAGCACATCACAGAGATGGGGCATGGAGAGAAGCTGTGAGAGCTGGTCTGGAAAACTGCATCAGTCTCTGGTTAGAGTCTATCCTGCTACTCTTGAATTGGGCAACCTGGGAAATTACTGAATCATTTTGAGACTCCATTTCCGAATCTACGCAAGAATGAAGCCTGTGTAAAATAGTGGGTACATTTTTTGTGATTAACTGCAGTTGTATACCTAGCATCTCTCCTGGCATGTTTACTCTGCAGATCTTTACTTGAAGGATAGAAGATGGAGGCACTTGGGAGTTAGGAGAGAGCCAAATGCTTGTGAATCCATGTTGTTGAGTGTAGATTCTCAAGTTGATAAGAAAAAAAAGCAAAGTGCTACTGTGATATTTGGGCAAAGTGGTATTACTCCATGTAGGACACCAAAGAAGAAAGAAAACCACTCTTGTGTCCAGGCAGTTTTATTTAAAGCTGTGGTTTGTGATACCTAGCAATACTTCTAGAAACCACTTGGTGGCAATAATGCCACTTGAATGTAGTCACTGTTCTTAGTTCACTAGTAAAACAAATGTGTGAAAACAAGAAACTCCAAAGAAAAGCACAAAGAACAACTCTTTTTGAGACACACACACACACACACACACAATTCAGGGATCAAAGAATGTATAACTTTCTTAGTACAACCATTCACTGCTGAATGTTTCATTAGGAACCAAAATATTTATGATCTCCCCTAGGATTTTTTAAAATTAGAAGTGAAAACTGCAATTCAGAGGCACTGTATGGACTGCTTTCGCATTACAAGATAATAATTAACTGTTGTTTAAGTCTTCTCTTCCAACCATAGGGTCCAGATTTCTTTCCTCTAGATCGGTTTCCTTTTTAAAGTGTGATATGGAATTTATCTTAATTTTTTTTTTGTTAAAAAATTTTAAGATTTATTTATTTATGGGAAAGGCAGAATTACAGAGAAAAGAAAAGACATAGAAGTCATCCATTCATTGGCTTACTCCATAAATGACTGCAAGAGCCAGTGGTGGACTGAAGACAAGACTGAAGACAAGAGTCTGGAACTCCATTGGGATTTCCCAAGTGGGTGGCAGAGCTGCAAGAACTTGGGCATCTTCTGCTGCTTTCCCACGAATAATAGCACAGAACTGGGTTGTAAGTGGAGCATCTGAGACTCTAACAGATATATGGAGTGTGTGCATCACTTAAACTGCTCTATAGCAATGCTGGCCCTTCAACTTTTTAGTTAAAGCACAATGCAATAATTTGTAAAATAAACAGTTAATTGGTCTAAAGGTGAAGTGTAGAAGTTGTAAAAATACATATTTGGTGATGGCTTTAAATCTAAGATCAAAGACAGCATTTAGACAGTAAAGCCTTGAGAGTATCAGGAATCTTCATTTGCAACAAGAAACATCTAAATTGCTTGGGGTTTCTATCTTAGAAATGAAACTAATTTTAGGACTTTTTTTTCTTTTTAGCAAGAATGACATTCTTACAATCGTTTCTCTTTGTTGCACAGTACCTACTACCAAATATGTGTTACTAAGGGAAGTTCAAAAGAAAATAAAGGCAAACAAAAAGGAACAAGGATTGTGGCTTTTCATTGGACACGATGATACTCTGCTAGCTCTGCTTTCAAACCAGAGATGGTCTCCCCAAGAAACTGTTGAATTTATCTTGACAGTAAGATGCTGGACTCTATGCATGGTACATGCTTGCAATGAAGGAATCATGACCGGATCTGATCTGTACTACTGCAACAATGTGGAGGAATCCAACATGGGGGGAGGGTATGGGGATGGGTTGGGGGAATCCCAGGGCCTATGAAACTGTGTCTTAAAATGAAATTAATTAAAAAAATAAAACAGTTGGATATTTGTAACTCAGTTTTAGAAACTGTGCAAATTAGAGCTGTGATTATTATTACAGCCCATATAATCTTGAATACAGATAATCTGGCTGTAAAATTGTATAAAACTTCACCAGATTTAAGACATTTTGTGGATTCAGATTCTCTGAAATCAATCCACATACTTAGAAGTCTGACATAACATTTGTCCTTATATTTCTAGCTGTAAGCAATTTCAAAAAATCAGTAACTTTATTAAAGTATTCCCAAATCACAAAAAAAGTAATAATTTTTAAAAGGAAGAAAAGTAAATGTACTTAAAGAAATTTGGTTTGTAATTATCCTCTGAATAAGTCCCACCCTCGATTGGTTCCTGGAAGTTTGTGACTTGTTGGTGAAAGCCTTGTATTGTTTTCAACTCTGCAGGTGACATCAATCACTGGCAGTGTGCCTGAGGAACAATATCTAAACCCAACATCGACTCCATCTCTGAATGGGTAGGTTGTGTGGGAAGAGAGGAATTGACAGAACAAGAGAAGGATTTAGGTAGAAGCAGCTTTCATGATCACAATAATACAGAAGTTTCATCTCTATCATTCCAATTCCATGACTTGTCTATCTGGGGAGCCTTTAGGGGATACTTGAGGTCCAACAACAGCACTCTGAGAAATGGAGAACATGGTCTGCTGAAGACGACCTCTACAACAGCAGAACAATCAGACAACACAAATACAAACTACACTTAGCCATATATACCAGCTTTGTAAAGACCCTGAAATTGTGTTTCCTTGGGAGATTTAGGATTGCTGCTACAACAACATTGTTTCTGCCAGCATCAATGTTGTGGCATTCTGATTTCCCAGAAGTGCAAGTTTAATCTAAATAAAATTTACACAAACTCTTAGTGTTTTGGAAATCTCAACTACCTCCCACTTTGGGCCATTTGTAGAATTTTCAAGTTGTAATCATCTGGAATTAGACAAAAGACCCTCTGTTTAGTGTAGATCTCTGCCTGATAATTTTGAAATGTTGGAAATTGCACTGAGATTGAAGTTTAAGAGTGCAATTGAAGGTTAGTGAAATATTTAATGAAAAAGTTAGGGAGAGGCTGACAAAGTTAAAGAAAAGGCACACCCAAATATCCAGTTTTTATTCCCCAACTAACTGCTTATACAGTTTGCCTGCCACTCTGTATCAGATGCTTTCAAATCAGTGTCTGTTTACCTAATCACGTAAGCAGTGTTTCAGGGTTATAAAAACACTCCAGATACATACACACCTGAAGAAAGGAAAATGGAATATACTAAAAAGCAAATATATATATATATATATATATACACTAAAAAATAGCTACTTCTTCCAGTAGAATACTACCTGAGCTCCTGAAAACTAAAGGAACCCAAAACATGCTGTGAGACACTATAGAGCCTGTTGCTTTTTTCTGATTATAGTAAAAGCACTGCACAAAGGATGGTGTGAGAGATGCTTTTCAAAAGACACCTTTGGCTTTAAGTAAGGCTTGGCTGAGGTTACCTTGCTACAAAGGCTGACCTCAAGGTAGAAACATGGAAGGATACAATCACCCCTGGGCATCTTGTCTCAGTGTTAGGCATTCAAGCACCTCATCATCTGTAACTGATCTGTCTCTCCTGTCTCCAGCACGACAGCCCATCAGTACCTTTCAGACATGGCCCTCATCTTCCTGTGTCCCTCCCTTCCTTGTCAGTTCCCTGGCTCTGTGTCATTCTGCTGTTCTACCAGCTCTGCTTTTTTCGGATCGTACTTATCCTTTGTGGATCATCTGCTGTTGCCTTCTTTAGCAGTTTTCCTTAATTTCCAACCTAACCTTAGACCTTCTCTGTATGAATTTTTTTAAGAAAATCCTTCTATCTCTTAATATGGCTACACAAATACGTTATCTCCTTTATGAAATGGAAAACCCTTTGGACACAGAGACAGTAGTTTATATTTTCATGTTCTACAACATTAAATAGAAGTGCTTTGTGTACTATTGGTATGTATATGTGTAGAAAAAAATAAGCCTTGTATTTACTGGGATATTTTTCATTTGAGTGGTTTTTTTCCCTCATTGTGGATGTTTTCTGACTATTTCAATCCTTGTAGAAACCAGCTTTACTGTGGAATTATGATAGTTGCTCTGGTACAAATAATATCACAGATGTGTGCCAACTGTGAACCAAGCACAAACTCCACTGTATTTGAGCTCATTTCCTTTCACATCAACCATCTAATGTGAGCTCTCTTGTTAGGTGCATTATACAGATGAGGAAGTGACTTTCCCATGATGACACAGCAGTGAACCATAGAGTGGATTGGGACTCAGTCACCCAGTGTTGCATGGTGGATGCCCGTAGTGTTAATTATAGTTGAGCTTACAGTT